TGAAAATTAAGCTCCTGCTGGTTTCGCCCCTTCAGGAAGAACAGGTTGTCTGTTCTCTGAATCACACATTTTCATTGTACTTTCAATACGTCCTGCTGCTCCCCTTAGTCAGTATGAATATCACCCACAAGTGTCAGGAAAACACTTTAACCCAGCCTTTACAGAGGATATTTATCATTTCGACTAACGTTCCTACGAGGTTAAAAACTAACTCAGAACGTTGTCGTCCGGTTCTGTTACCCGATAGAAGAAGAACGTTCTCACGCCAGCATTCAACAAATGTTTTCAAGATGTTCTCGTGGCCTCAGAGGACGGATTGTTTTCTCCAAACATTCCTGTCATGTAACATATTAATAAAGACAGAACACGTCGCCTGCTTGCTGCTCTTTGCTAAAACGTTCCCTCAATGTTACACATTAACAAAGGAGGAACGTTTGAGAAAATGTTTTTAGTCTTTAGAGCGGTTCGTGCTGTCTTTTAGGAAAATGTCCCACTGAAAACCTTACTAGAACATTATCAGAATGCTTTCAGAACAAACCATTCCAGCTCCGATAGGACCTTTAAGCAGCAGATAAACTGACTAAACCTGAGTTTTTTGGTGCTGGCCAGTCCTGTTATATGGTTCCCCACGTACAGCAAAGGAAGCGGGAAAATCTGGAAAGACAGTAAAAGAATAAAAGTTTTAAAAAATGTGGTTTAAATGTTGAATTCTGAATAAAGAGAACTTCTTACTTTTAGAGGAATGCTTCTGTCAAAATCCTGAAACTGCACCGTTTTGCTCATCTTGGCCACATGAAGAACAGCGATGGTGGTGATCATCTGGAAGGACAACAGGGTGAGTGCTGCTGAGGAGAAGAAGGGAAACAAACGCACCCAACAGCTGGACAACTCACCTGGCCGATGCCCAGACACAGGTAGGAGGGAAACCTGCGCAGGTGAGCAAGCACAAGATCAGAATGTGACTCCATATTTGTTGTTGTTGTTGTTTTTAAACCCTCCCTGTTGTTGACACCGTGACTGACGTGAGGACAAAACGCCACCTACCTGAAGCTCGTGAGCACGGTTTTGTTCACCACGGTGATCAGGAACGAGCTGCCGGCGTAGAACAGAGCGGAGGAGAACTTTACCAGCCCCGAGTGTTCCGCGGTGACCGGATAGGCGTCGGCAGACATGATTAAATACTATTTAAAAAAAAGAATCACTTGTTGGAGTTTTTAAAACATTGAGTTGAAGCGGAGTGGTCTCGGGTGGAGGCAGGTTCTCTCTCCGCTGGTGTTTCCTGTCAACCGCTGCTGAGCGTGCACACGGAGCAGCAGACAGGTGGGCGGCGCTCGCGCTGTTACATAATTCAGAAGGGGAAGCCCGTTCCGTGTCAGGCCCACTTCCACGGAGCGGCCCAACAACGCAGCGCCAGAGTGACACGCTGTGATCTGGACAACACTTAAAGCACACACAGAGTCTAAAGAGGCAACTTAAACGTGCTCAGTGTAAACAGGCGTCCTCAGATGTATTCATACGCTTCCATTAAAGAAAAGGCAAAATTCACAATAATAACTCAAATAACTAGAAACTGAAGAAAGTAATAATAAATAAAAATTTGCTAAATTATAATGTAGTGAAATAAAACGTTGCTTTTGAATTGTGGTTGAAAAGAGTAATTTAAAAAAATAGAAAACCAAACCGTCTCGGACAAATTAGAGCATTTTGCTGATGAGCAGTGAAATCAAAGTTTTAAAAAAAGAAAAAAGAAGAAGTCTGACTGAGAGTTACAGAAAACACTTGATTGCAGTGATTGGCTCAAAGGGCTGTTCAACTAAATATTAGTTTATGGGTCCCATCATTCTTGTTTGCTTGTTTTAAAAAAAAAACAAAAGTATTTTAAATTTATGTTTTATTTTTAATATTTCTGTTCAACCATAATTCAAAAGAAATGCCATGGTTTTCATTAAATTTTTTTTATTTATTATTACTTTTGACAATGACAACTTATTTCAGTGACAGCTAAAGCTTATAGTTAGCGTTGTTATAGTTTGTAAGTAGGCGAGCTAAAACATGGCTATGCTAGCTCCTCTTAGCTTAGCTTCAGCTAGCTGTCTGATAACATATGTAAAAGAAATTATATTTAGCTTACTGCACATTTATATTAGTTTCAGACAGCCATCTGATAACCTATCTAAAATAAATTATATTTAGCTTACTGTATATTTAGCTTAGCTTCAACTAGTTGTCTGACAACATATTTAAAAGAAATTATATTTAATCCAATTAAGAAATTGGAGAAAATTTATTTTGTGATCCTTAAAAAACACTTTTTTCTATCAAAATGACTCAGAGCAGTGTCTTATTTTAACAATACACAATTGGCAAAATGGGACACCAACACAACCTGCATTTTTAAAAAGGCCAAAAGGAGAAACCAATACACAATTACATTTATTTACCCCCAGAAAAGAGAAAGAATTCAGCAGTAAATGTTTGTTTTAAAATTTTTGAAAGGCTTCCTAATTTTAATGGCAGAATGTTATTAAAGCACAATGTCACGCCAACAGCAACACCAAAGCATTGGTACAGATTTACCTTCTGTACTCCTTGAAAAGACACTCAATGCAAAGCTTATCCAAATTTGCCAGGTGTCCCATTTTAACCCGGCTCATGGACGTTAAAGAACAAACAAAACACACAATTTGTTTGGTTATTTGGGATTTTGGAGAATTTCAGACAGATCCAAAGGTTCAATCAACGACCGGACGGAGACTTTAATAAGATAATAGGAGGATATTCATGTAGTAAAACTCCAGGTGGAGCTGGATGCAAATGACTGCCATGATAAATCCAATGTAATGTTGAAAAGTCAGCAAACTACGTGACTCTGAGTGGACTTTCTCTCTCGCTGGCTTTCCTCAGTGTTGAACAAACACAAGTGTACTTTAGTCCCACACATGCATGTTTGCTTGTGTGGATTTATGACTTTTGTGTGCTTTCAGCGCACACCGAGGTGAGATTTCTTTTACAAGCCTCAAGGGTTTATTTTTTAAATCTCACCTGCACTATTTGCTTTGGTTATTATGTTTCTGCTGCTGAATAAATAATCTAAAAACAAACAAACAAAAACTACTGGAGCTATAGCAAATTCATTATATTGGTTAGTCATACATTTGTGCACAAAAACTTTAAAAATTCAGCTGCAGGATAATTGTTTTCCGTCTGTGTATGATGCATGTGTGTAATGTTTACTGGGTACCTTGAAGTTGTAAAGCGGCCTACTAGGTTAAACTATGCTGTAATGTGGCTGTGGAGAAGCCCAGCACATTTTCAGCACCATAAACTTTGGTGCAAATGCAACACGTAGCCTAGAAATGCAGACTTTTGTCTAGTTTTGGCTGCTGTTGAAACACAGACAGACTCGACCAGAGGATATATGGAGAGTTCATTTGAAAAAAACAGATAACTTCATTTTTGTAGATTGTCAGGAAACTTATTTTTTTTGTTGTTTGCTTGAGATAATATCAATCAAACTGAAGCTGAGTGGATTTGACTCAGTAGAAATCCATCCATCCATCATCTATACACCGCTTAATCCTCACTAGAGTCGCAGACTGTGTGGGAGGAAGCCGGAGAACCTGGAGAGAACCCACGCTGCACGGGGAGAACATGGAGACTCCACGCAGAAAGATCGACGACCTTCTTGCTGTGAGGCGATGGTGCTAACCACTGAGCCACCTTGCAGCCCATGATGGGACCCGTAAACTAATATTCTTTGAGCCAATCACTGCAATCAGGTGTTTTCTGTAACTCTCAATCAGACTTGTGCACCTGTTGACAGGTGTTTGGATTTCACTGCTCATCAGCAAAGTGCTCTAATTCGTCGGCTGTGGCTCAGGTGGTGGAGCAGGTTGTCCTCCAGTTGCAAGGTTGGTGGTTTGATCCCCTGCCCCTCCACAGTGTCCTTGGGCAAGACAGTGAACCAGAAGTTGCTCCCAATGGCAGGCAGCACCTTGCATGGCAGCTCTGTCACCATTGGTGTATGAATGTGTGTGAATGGGTGAATGAAAAACACATTGTAAAGCACTATATATGTGCAAACCATTTAATTTGTCTGCAACAGTTTTTTTTAAAATTATTCCTTTCAACCACAATTCAAAAGCAGCATCTTATTTCACTAAATTATAATTTTGCAAATTTTTATTTATTGTTACTTTTTTCAGTTTCTAGTTATTTGAGTAACTATTGTGAATTTTGCCTTTTCTTTAATGGAAGAATACATTTGAGGACGACTGTAGCTGCATAAGGGATGTATGTTCACAACACATTTTGTTCAGCAGTTAATAAGGTGTGCTGCTACGTTAATAAGNTAAAGAGGCAACTTAAACGTGCTCAGTGTAAACAGGCGTCCTCAGATGTATTCATACGCTTCCATTAAAGAAAAGGCAAAATTCACAATAGTCACGCAAATAACTAGACACTGAAGAAAGTAATAATAAATAAAAATTTGCTAAATTATAATGTAGTGAAATAAAACGTTGCTTTTGAATTGTGGTTGAAAGGAATAATTTAAAAAAATAGAAAACCAAACTGTCTCGGACAAATTAGAGCACTTTATTGATGAGCAGTGGGCCCAAAATAAATAAATAAAAAAAAGGAAGTCTGACTGAGAGTTACAGAAAACACTTGATTGCAGTGATTGGCTCAAAGGGTTGTTCCACAGAATATTAGAATCATGCTTGTTTGCTTTTTTTGTTATATGTATATATATTATATTTTCCCCTTATTTAATAGGAGCGTATGAATACATTTGAAGATGACTGTATATAATGAGTATTAGTAAAATGGGACACTTTCTGAAAAATTTGCATTCTGGCACAATTTACAGAATTAAATCAAATGAAATGAAATGAAAAATACTTTATTCATCCCAGAAGGGAAATTCAATTCAAATCAAAGCCTCAGCTCCTAATTCTATAAACTTACTATATTATACAGAACTACAAGAAAGAAGAGACGTAATGTCAACATGTTATTGTCTTCAAATAACCAACAACACAAGTAAAATTCATACATTTTAGTGTTTAGCTTCCCCCAACTACTGTTAGATATTGTTGATGTTTTTAAACATATATATACACACACATATATTAATATATTTTAGATTTATTTAAAATATTATACACATGAGAAAAAGCAAAACTGGTTACAATTAGCTAGAGTTTTTATTTAGCGTTGATATAGTTTGCAAGTAGGCGAGCTAAAATATGGCTATGCTAGCTCCTCTTAGCTTAGCTGTCTGATAACATATGTAAAAGAAATGCTATTGAGCTTACTGTATGTTTATATTAGTTTCAGCTAGCCATCTGATAACCTATTTAAAAGAAATTATATTTAGCTTAGTTTCAGCTAACTGTGTGATATTGTAAATAAAGGAACTTATATTTAGCTTGCTGTATATCTAGCTTAGTTTCAACTAGCTGTCTGATAACATCCATCCATCCATTTTCTATACACCGCTTAATCCTCACTAGGGTCGC